TTGAGAAATTTCATACATGTTTTACAGGAGCGATCCGGTAAAAAAAACCATGCTAAGAAGGGCTAATAACTTCATTGGCTACCCAAAGTCAGTACTTTTTATGGCAATAATTTTTCAAAGATTTCGCAAAGAGAAGGTGTTTTATGGACACCTCGAGAGTGCTGAACATCAGCACGCCAGTCACACTTAAATACTGGATTAATAATAGAAGTTTTCCAATAGTCAGGGAAGAAGCTATTTATGAGAAATATTGAAAAGAGTTTGCTAAGCAAAAACGGCAAATCTCTTAGCTGTTTTATAAGAGTTTGGGATATTGTCCGTTCCTTTTGAGTGACAGTCAGGAAGATGGTTTTTCAGGTTTTGAATAGTTTCAGGAGAAAAACTAATGATGCTGAGGAAAGCATCAGATGACGGAGAAATTGAAGGGATTGGGTCAGTTTCAGTGGTGAAATGTCGGGCAAAGAATGAATTTAACATTTGTGCTATGCCTGATTCCTCTCTAATGTAGGTGTCGTTTAAACTAAGCAAAATCGGAATGACTTGGTGGGATTTAGCAGATGCTTTTTGAACGGAGATCTGAGCAAGTGATTTGGAAGCATTCGCGTCATTAATAGCTAAAGACTCTCTACGCCTATCTCGCGCAAGTCTCATTTTCAAAGCTAATTCGAATATTTCAGCGATTCTTAGGCGAACTGGTAATTAACTCACGAAAGGATTTTTAAGTTGATTCCGTAGACTTTTAAGTCTGGTTTTAAGAAAGTGTGGGACAGCGGCGGAAGTGGCACTCGATTTAACGTATTCCGTGGAATTAGGTTGAGAAGACCCTTTGTAACGCAATGTAATAAATTGTTAAAACAATTTGAGAAAATATTATGCCAAGCAAGAGTGATAGTAAAATTATTTACTAATTCTTTGTTAACATTAGCAAAGTCAAAAACGCTACGTTTTACTGCTGGCTTTGCGGAAATGGCAACTGGAAGACAACAATGAATTAGTGCCTGATCACTTGCAAAAAGGTCACGATGGGAATCCATAGATAAAGAGAAGATGCCATTAGTAAAAATTAAATCTAGTACGCAATCGTTTCTGGTTGAACAGTGGATTAATTGAGACAAGTTTGAAAAGTGAGTGGTCTATAGAGGCTTCTGGAATTTAGAAGAGGAAGTATGTGTGTACCAGTCAAGTTTTGGCAATTTAAAATCGCCTACGATGGTCTTGCCATTGAATGAAGTTTTTGCAATTTTTTCAAAGCGTTCACAGAGTTGGCTTTCATTTCCGGAGTAACAAGGAGGATTATATACACATCCGACTAAGGCTTTTCTATTTGGCGGAACGATTACCGAAGCGAAGCATAAATTTTCGGAGAAGGAGTAAATGTTCAGGTTACAAGACGACTGTGCAAGTGAGGCTCTGATGTAAAAAAGGCAACCACCACCGCGTCTTACGACACGATCCTGGTGGTATAAATTGAGGCTATCTGTATTGGGTGCCGAGTCTGAAATTAACGAGAAAGCCCAAGATTTTGTAATGCAAAAATAGTTGGGTCAAACTCAACAGCCACACTTCGTAGTTGTGACATCTTTTGCGCGACTGATCTTGCGTTGAGAGAGACAATACTGAGCGTATTCCTAATATGTAGGTTTTGCTCATTGCGACTTATAAAAAGGGAGAGCTAGTGGGGGGGGGTGGGAAATTAAGTTGTTGGGATGAAGGCATTGGTGGAGGACAGAGTTGCTGTGGTCTAAAATTTGTGGGCGAATTACCACTAACTAAAGATGGGAAAACATTTCAGTAGGACCCAGGAAGAGGAATGCTATCTTGTGGGGTTGGAAAAATAGGAGGCATACAAATAGGATTTTTGGAATTTTGAGCATAATATGAGGGGTAGTTTATGTTAGATAACGGACTAAATGATTTCGAGAAACAGCTTACATTTGGAGAAGGCCGTATCATTTGGGGAGTCAGGCTAGCAGTCGGATTGGAAAAATCATCAGCAACATTTTACTCTTGCATTTTACGGGCTGGTGTGCAGATGGGCTTCACAACTGGGGTATTTTCGTTAAGTTGAGAATTCGGGATAGGAACAGGTAAGTATCTAACTGAACTATCATCTCGATTATTTGACCTAACCGGTAGGTCAGATTTGAATGGCCTGGCACGAGAAGGGGATGGATGTAACCCAGGTTTTTTGGCTAATTCACTGGTCTGAGTCCTGGGGGCCGATTGTGCGTCTAGGGTTGGCCAATCTTTACTGTTAAGATAGAGCGTCCTAGTAAATTTGGAGCCGCATTTGAGCATACCTTGCTTCCTGGAGGCGTTTTAAAGTGGCTGGTTTCAATTCACTCAGTGATAATGTGCTCATTTGAAGAGCTAGATGGAACTGGGGTTGCTGTAGATTGGGGGAGATTCGGTTGACGTCCGATTGAGAATCTGCTTTAGCGGCAAATGGCAGACGAGTAGAATTCTGGGGTGGCTTTGCGTTTGTTAATGGGGGAGAAACTCTTCGCTGCAGTGGAGTTCTATGCCCACTGATGAAAAGTTTATTTGCACTAAGAGCGTCCCAAATGGGAGAAAATAAAGTCCACTTCTCTCGGCGATAATAGTTGGACAAGAATTGGTGGATTTTCGCTTCAAATGAAAGTCTTTTAGCTTCGGCGACCATAAGGTTGAATCCGCAAGAATAAAGGAAGTGGAAGGCGACATCGATTGGCTGTCTACTTTTAGGAACGTTTTTTAAATAAAGTTAAAACTTCGTTTGTGCCCGTCTTCGGTCCCAGTAGAAACCTATTCAATGAGGGGCATGAGCTTCTCATATTGCTGAGACGTAAATGTTGGCGACTTTTCTTCAAGAAGAGCATCAAAACAGGAAGAAAATTATCCGTAACGAGATACAAAATTGTTAAAATTATCGAGCGCTCCTAGGTCTGTTAACAGACCTAGATGAAACGAAATTACTGTGCGTGTTTTAAGTTAATCTCACATCCTTGACCGCCACAGATCTATGCTCCTTTGTATGTCCCCTTCAGTGGTGGCGTTGACAGAGCAGTCGTCGGCGAAGAGAAGCTCGTGAACGGTAATTGTGGGTCCACGCGACTGGAGTTGGCAGTCCACCCTGTAGACGAGGTGGATTTCAGGACGTTCGTCACGGTAGGCGTTCGGTTAGATGGCTGAGAACATGGGTTGACGTGGGTAGGCGCGAGGACGCAGCCATATTTTGTTCTGTAAGCCGATGTGAATACTTCTGAGACGACTCCGTTGTTCGTGACTCGCGCCATCCTCCCATCGTGGGCTGACGCACCATCTTAGGGAATCGTTCGGGGGCAGCAGAATTTTTGCACGATTTTCCGCAGTCCTTCGCGATTCACCGCGTCGAAGACGGCGGTGGTGAACTACCCGTTGGTCCAGCTTGTTGCTGAAATAGAGATGATGAGCAGACACATTCAGCAAAACAGTAGTTAACTTACTTGGCGGTCTCTTACCTTGAGGTCTCCAGCACGGCTATAGCCGGACCCTCATCATGAAGACGACGAGGCGATAATCGGTTCATCCATCGCCCCCCCCCCGAATCGCCTTTGTCACCAGCATGTTCTGTTGGTCTAGTCCCCGGACGAGGACACAATTTAGCAGATGTCAGCGCCGCGGCCGAGGGGGCATCCAAGTCGTCTTCCCCCACGTCGGAAGGCGGAAGAGGGTGTTAGTCAGGATCGGATGGTGCTCTGTTCAGGTTCGTAGGAGGACCAGGCCATTGTCATTGATGCCGCGGGAATCATCGAGAAGCAACACTCCTCTCCAGACAACGAGCGTCGAAGTCACCAAGGACAGTCAGCCTATCCGCATTCGGCACAGACGACAAGAGGTCGTGAAAATCCTCGTAAAATTTATTCTTCGTCTCGTCGGAGCTGGTCATTCGCGGGGCATAGGCGCACATAATAGGGGCAAATTCGGATCTTTGAAGGGAGACGGGGTTCAGCAACCGCTTGTTAATGCCTTGCAGAAGACAGGACTCAATGTCGTTTCGGTTGGCAAAGGTGACGTTCGCTTCTCGTCGCTCTGTCCTTGGGCGACCTCTCCAGGAGAAGGTGTAACCGGAATCCATCTCCTCCAGTTGACCTTTTTCATAAAAACGGGCCTCACTGAATGCAACGTTGTCCACCCTGTAGTTCGCCAGTTCCTGGGTGTATAACGCCATCCGCCATTTCGGTCAGTTCTTCCGCGGATTGCTTAAAAGAGAACGAACATTCCAGGCTACCAGATTTAGCGGACTCACACTGGTGGCCTATGCGGTGGGTCAAAAGGAAGGAGGGGGGAGAAACTGATTGTTATATCTTGTTTGATGGTTTCGACCGCAGGTATTGCGGCCCGCTAGCCGCTGTTTGTGCGCAGATTTTGTGAACCCAGAATTTGTTTAGAACACCTGTAATAGCCCCTTCCTCCTCGCCGAGGTAAGCAGTGTGGTTCCTAAATAGGGTTGTTCAGTCGTCCCAGACGGGTTCTGAACTCCACTATGAGTCATATATTGGTTTAGTGAGATAACGACCGGATGGGCATGGGGAGAGAGTAGAATAAAGAGAAGAGGGAAGGAGAGAGAGGAACAGGGTTGCCGGATGTGGGGCCACATCCGGCTACCCACATTTAGTTCACTTCGCTGGTCGAGACGGTTACTGGGGCGTGGCCGCTAGACAGAGCCTAGCTTAGCTGATGTACGTGTGAGATTTGGGTTCCAATCCATGAGCTCTATGTGCAGTCAACACCTTCAAGCAAGTGGGCGATACAGCACGACCATCAAGTGGACCTTCAACTAGACAAATCTGCTCCCACTAACATCAATCAGGGTACTTTCATGGTATTAATGTGGTATATATATGATATATGTAGTCTATCGGCGGGTCTTACAGAGGCCCAACTTGTCAGGTTGTGATTTGTAAGCAAACGCAATGGAGTTCATGCCCCCAAGAGGTCCCGGAAGCGTTTCACAACTAAGTAGACAGTCAGAAGCTCACGTTCAAATGTGCCATTGCGCGATTTGGCAAGTGATAACCTTCTACAAAAAAGTCAGGGATTGAAATTCGCCTCCAAGGTGCTGCTGAATAACTGTACTGACTGCAGCATTGGAAACGCTGACGATGCAAGGGAGATATGTGTGTCGGCAGAAGAATGGGTTAAGATAGTGTATTTAGTCAGGGCAGCTTTCTCCCTGTCATAGACTGGGAGCAGTCAAACAAGCATTCCGGCGAGATGACATTTTTCAGAAGAACTAATAAGAACTGAACATCTGGAATGCAGTGATGGTTATGTTGAGATTTCCAGCCAATTACTGTTACCCAAACGATTCCTTCGAAATAGCGGTGAAAGGCGCTGAGCCTATGGTGCGGTGCATTCACTAAAATGTAGAATTAATTCTCAGTACGTCACATAAATTGATATGAAAGAAAGTAAACACAACGGTTAACTCGATTTCTAATTACAGGAAAGCTGCCATCCAATGGATGGCGATCGAGCACCTAACCCCAATGAATACACCAAGTTTGCATCGTAAATAAAGTTTCATTTGACCCTGAGTAGTACTTCAAGCGCATCCTGTTCGAAAACCATTGTTTCGGATTATAGTAAATGATAATGGCATTGCCGAAACGTAGTGGCGTTAATCTCTGGACGACTAGTCGAAAGCGACTTCCCGAAAGACACTTCCGGTAAGATACAACTATCTACCGAGTAAATGGCGCAGTAAAATCACTGAACTCTGGTGTGGGGAAACAGTGTACGGTCGACACAAACTTAGGGCAGATTGGATGATATGACTGAAAATAAGCTGATCGGCACAGAAATTTGTAAACGAGAAGGAATGTGCGATAGAATTACTGGCGTCCAATCGCGCATATATATATATATATATATATATATATATATCGCGTCCATCATCTCCCGAAAAAGAAGAAGAAGAAGAAGAAGAGAGGGCGAATTCATGGACCATATTGTATTCGAACTGACGTTTCGGAAATTTCCTCGTTTCCATCATCAGAGTAGCGTAGTTGTTGCACTTGCCGATCTTGATCGGCAAGTGCAACAACTACGCTACTCTGATGATGGAAACGAGGAAATTTCCGAAACGTCAGTTCGAATACAATATGGTCCATGAATTCGCCCTCTCTGCTCCTTCGTCTCCTTCGGGAGATGATGAATGCGATGCAATGTCCGGACCTCGAATCTTTATGCATATATATATATATATATATATATATATATATATATATATATATATATAATGTTAGGGGGCGCTCACCGATCGTTCATACGGAACTCACTCGTTCCGTTGTGCCTTAAGGGCTCTCTCTCGAGCCCAACCAGCAGCCGCACAGCGGCGCATGATATATATAGGCAGAATTGCATTACCGTTAATGACAAGGGAGACTGGAATGGCCATTTCTGGCTTATTAGCCGTCGTCAGCCAGACATACCCAAGCCCGAAGTGTAGAACACCCGAGCCTCGAACTCGCGACCTGTTGGTTTAGAAGTCAACGCCTCTACTCACCGGGCCACGAGCCCGTTGCCTTGTCGGCTTTCGATCGGGAATATACAATGTTAGGGGGCGCTCACCGATCGTTCATACGGAACTCACTCGTTCCGTTGTGCCTTAAGGGCTCTCTCTCGAGCCCAACCAGCAGCCGCACAGCGGCGCATGATATATA